CCTGCTGGAAACGAATTTGGTAGTTTCTTTTTCTGTAGGAGAGGAAAAAAAAAGTTTTAAATGTGAAGAACCTGAGGATATAGAAGAGGCTGTAAACATTCCTTTCTTCCTCATCCTTCTATCTACCTTGCAGACACAACTGCACAAAGATTACCAGTATCAGACACCGGGTACAAAGGGCAGGGTGATGGGAAGGCAGCAGCTGAGCTCAGTGTCAGCAGCATCCCAAGCTCCAGACAGGGACAGCCTGGCAGGTCTAGTCACATACACAGTACAAGGAAGGGAGCATTTTTCAGTTACAGTATTTCAGGAGTATGCTATTGCTAAGTTTGGTGAATGACCAAGTTACACTGTGTCTCCTTTTTGATTACTTACATATATCACCTTTGCTATTTGCCATTAAATCCCCAAGTCAAAGCTGTGATGCTCTAGACTACGGAGACTGAGAGTACACAAAATGTGGATTCCTAGTCCTGGTGGTAAATAAGGATGCAAGAACAGTTGGAATTCCAGTTTGAGTTTGGCCTAATTCCTACATTCCACCTAGAAACTTAGTCTGAAGTTAGAATTTAGGAACTCATTCATGTTTTAAGAGAAATCATATGATTTTCACATGTATGTGCAGAGAGTCAGTAAGAGTTACCTGTCTGTATCTGAAGACTATGCTAATCTTAAGAGAACTGTTAGTTCAGAGCAGGCTTGAGAGGCAAAGTAAGTAAAGCTCACAAACATAAAGAGGATGTCAGGGATTTGGACTGGCATCTCTGAACCATCCCATTATAAATAATATATATAGAAATGTTTGTTAGAATTTTACATTTAAAGTAAACTCCTGTACTTGCCTTTATTTTCTTCTTTTTTGATGCTGTTGGAGAACTTTGAAGGTCTTTTCTGTTTGCAGAACGAGAATTTCTCTCACCCTCATTCAAGTCCTCTAGTTTCCTTTTCTTTACTGTGCTCCGTAAAGACCTGAACTGTTGAGTATTGTCCTTCAGGGGGGTTGCAGTGCTAGTCCTTGCAATAGCTGCTCGTGACAGTATCATCAGCGTGTGAGCAGCCATGCTGACACTGTTTTCACTACCTGTTTCACTGGCCGGGCTGCAGGCAGGCAGGTCAGGTGTAGCAGGGGGTACCATTATTCTAGGGGTGGTGCTGTCCTCGTTGAAGCGCCGGCAGGTAGGTGTCCGGACGCTGTCTGTCGTGTCGTCCGTGTGTCTGTCCCCGACGCCGGACGGCGTGCGGGGCACGGGCAGTTCTCCATTGTCACCCATTTTACTAGTCGGGCTGTGCCACTGAATGTCTTGCAACATTTCCACACATTGTTTAGTGAATGGGCTCGAGAGGCAAAGGCCTTGGCTGGAAACTTTGGCTGGTTCTCGCTTTGCCTCCTTCGAAGCCAAGGGAGTGGGCACTGGCGACTTCCCAGTCCCACTGGACAGCGACCCTTGCTTCTTGCTCAGCTCTTGCACTGCAGCAACTGTCTTCTCATTCCATAAGCCAACACTTTGCTGGCCATTTGAGAGTTTGGCAGTGTCTTGGTTCTTCTGTTTCTCATCAGTATCTCTTCGTAATTCATTTTCTTTGTTTGCTGTGGCCTTGTGGAAGGGATCCAGTGGAAGCCCTGCAGTTGCCACCTTCCGCTCAGGCTGGGGCTCCTTGGCAGATGTGCTTCTGTTGCTACCAACTTCAGGCTTACATAGAATTCTAGGCAACGTTTTATCCTTCTCTCTTTTTGCTGGCTGTGCTTTAGCAGAGGATGATGCAGAGTCAACAGCAAATAAAGTATTTTCATTTCTTTCTTTTTGGGATAAACTCTTAGGAGTCTGAATTTGAGTGTTTCCTCCTGGAGCAGGTAGGACGTTATCAAAGCAAAGCACTCTCCTGTGACTTTCACCTTGTCTTGAATTTGAGCTTGTACTCTCCACTGATGCAACAGGTAAGTTCTCCTCCACTTTCCTTCCTAGTTCTGCAGTGATAAGCTTGTCTGAATTTGCAGTCCTGAAAAAGAGATGAAAACACTTCAGCAACATACTTGTTCTTACTAAGCAAGCTCATTTCAGCTGGCTGGAAGCCCCAAACTCCCCCAAAAACACCTGTTTAAAGCTCTCCCCATTCAACATATAAAGACCAGGAGTAAGGGCTGACAACTGCAGAAAGCTCAGAGAAGGTAAAAAATTATGATAAAAGTTATCAAACAGCCTGTACAAAGAACAACTAGGCAGACAGGAGCTCTTCAGCTTAGAAAGAGAGATAGCTGAGGAGAGATACAGAGCTCTGGGAACAAAAGCCAGCAAAAAGGCAACAATTTGCTATATCTTCCAGCAGGAGAACTAGGGTCATCAAGGAAAACTAGTATCAGGTTCAAACCAAAACAAAGAGGTCTGAACACAGCGTAATTAAACCTGGGAACTTTTTTAACCTGGGATATTTATGGATGCTGGTAGTTTACTTGAGTTAAAAAAGGAACTGAGCATGTGCATGACAGGATAGTCCATCCCAGAACACTGGTTCTGGAAGTCCTTGGAGCTGAAACTGCTCAGAAGCTACCAGAATATTCTGGGCAGTATCATCATGCGCGTGCCTCGTCCTCTCCCCTGTGCATCTGCATTTGCACCTGTAGGTGATGGGACACACAGCAAGACAAAAAGCTTTTAGTGGGCATCTGGACAAGAACATAAAAACTCTCCAGGGCTTGGTCCCCACCTGCCAACCAGCCACATTTGTGTGAAAAAGCCACCACTGCACGGTATCAGTGTCAGAAGAAAAATGCTTCTGCTCTGGCAGCTCATAGCACTGTTAAGTCTGTGCCCTCTTCAGGTTTATGCTGCGTTTCCAAGTGAAGTGTCTGCATCTTCATGGATGCTAGCAAGACTCTCCTCACGCCAGTAAGCCTTTGTGGTTTGCAAGAGGAGAAGTCAAACTAACTTTGGAATGGCAACTTCGTTACCTTTGGGACAGTAAAGAAGGTATGGGTGGTAGCAGTTTGGTTTACTTCCATGAAACGTGATATGAGACAGAGGGTAGAGAGTAGAAATGAGAAATTCAATCTCTTTACAGGGAATATTCTGCTCTCTTTGCTATGCAAAACATATGTCTGGAGATCAAATAAAATTAAAGAAAGGTCAAGTATCAAAGTAATATTATCCAAAATAACTGATTTTTGCATGCATGCATACTATAAATGTTGGTATATGTTTTGGGTTTTTTTTTTAAAGCTGACTTTGTTGTTCTTGTTTTCTTTCACTTTTCTAATCTTTTAACTGAATTCTGAATAGGCAGATCATTTTAAAGGATGTTTTATTTTTACAATAAAATAACATCTCACCACTAACATTTAAACTGAACTTATCTTCTCCTACACTCTCACTTATTCCAAATACACTTTTTGTTTCTTAAGTCCATTAACAGTAAGGAGAGTCACTGCTGAAGCACTGCTGTGCTTTCTTCTCTCTCACTTGCCCAAGAGAAAACTAGTGCCTATCCCAATTAGCAATTATGTTAATAACATAATAATAACATATTCAATAACAAGCTCCACTGGATTTGGGCTAGAGTGGTAAAAGCAAAAAGGCTACACTACAAAACAACAGGCAACACTCATCTGAAAATAAAAAAAAAAACAGTTTTAATCATTAAAATATCCCAGGAAACACAACAAGCAATTTCTCCTAGCTTGGATTCTGCCCAAACCATTTTTATTTGACAATTGAGATGGCAGAAAATAACCACAAAGCCATACAAACACAGGAACAGTAAAAGTCGAGCACAGGCTGCAGTACTAGCACACATCTGTATCAATACTCCTGGCAGACAGACAGGAGGAAATAAAAGGGTTACTGCTAAAAACAGCTGCTCTCCTCTCCACTGATACATGAGGAAATTCACGGCAGGAAAACAAAAGCAAGTTTGAATACCCAGCACTACTACCTTTGAGTTCGAGGATTGGCGTGGTTGAGAGGCTCAGCTACACTTGGTACCGGTTTTCCTGGAACAACAGATGAAGTATTAATAAACTACAACAGTCCAAATAAACCATCTCACAGTTAGTACAATATTTCACCTGACAGAGAATCAATAAGGAAAAACCCAGCAATAAAGCAATGCCATTTTTTCATAATTTTAAAGTTTATACTTAGATAATACATAAGCCTGGCACAAGAAAACCAACTGTGCTGGACTTAAAAATGCACAGCAGGGACTTCCAAGTAGAACAGAAATAACCCCAGGGAACTCTCAGTTATCCATCAGCAAACCAGAATACAGACTAACCATACAATCCTAGCTTTTTTCTCAATTTGCAACTTCATTCTGTCTTCATTTTTATGTGTACAACTACTCTTTTTTAAAAAAGGTAGCTAGGACAAATTACAAGTTGCCCTTATAACTTATTTTCTATTTTCAAATATTTTTCTTTATCCAGTTCCAAAACTGAGAAATGAATGTAACTCCAGTCTTGTCTTAATTTACTATTTAAAGAAGCAAGGTCTCAATGAGATGAACATACAGAAGTGTATATACCTGAAATGTCAAAGAGAAAACAGCAGAATGCATTTCTTTTAAATAAACATGCAACACTTCTATTCAATATTTTCCTTAATAACTGTTTAGAATTGCTGACTCTTCTAATACCTTCTTATTTATAAAACTTTGTTATTGACAACTGGCATGTCTTTAGAAACCCACTTTCCTGCTGCCCTTCTCAAGAAGGCAAAGGGGGTACCTGTATTAGCCTTGTTTCTCCCTCCAGGAATCTTTTGTGATTTGGGAGGGATGGGAAGTTTTGGGACACTTCTGTTGCACACTGGATTAGCCACAGGCATATGTAGAACCTTGAAAGAATCAAAATATTCCATTACAATTCACCAAAAGACTCCTTGTCACTTCAGCTTGACTTTTGAAAAGCTTGATTTGTGCTACCTGGCGGGCAGGTGCTGGGAAGGTATTTCCATTTTGTCCTACTACTGAGAGAGGTATCATTCCCACCATTCCTTGCAAAACAGGTTGCACTGGAGATGCAATTATAATGGCAGAACCTAAAAAACAGCAAAGTGTTAAAATTGTACAGAAACTAAAAATACTTCAGTGAAAAGAAAAGCTTCAAGACAGGATTTCTTAATATTATACATGGTCAAAGCTGTGGCAAGAAAAGCTCTGGCTAATTTAGAAGAACTTCACTGTTCTTACTGTACATCACTACTGGAGAACAGAATAAGTACCAGTTTTATTTTTAATTTATTCCAAATTCTTTAATTAAAGTCTGATTTCCATTTAAGAAGTGGTTCAAAAGCTTAAAGTATGACAAGCCTATGCTAAAGCTTGAACTTGGAACATAAGTGATTTATAAAAAACTCTAAAAGTAATGATTTCATTTTAAAAAACCCCACTATTATTTGCATCCTATTCCCTACAATGAGCATGCTCAAAAGTCATTAGGAGAATTGTGGGTTTTTTTCCAGTGTACCCGTAGCACTTCCCCCTTACAAGCACACCAGAAGCTGGGAAAGGTGAGCTCCGTCTGTAAGGAGGTATCTAATGCATATTCCTGGCTGGGAGCAGTACACAAAGACTCTAGTTAACTAGGGGGCTTGAGTTTAATTATTCTTTTAAATAAAATAAAGCACAGTTAAGAATGATTTGGAATATTGAAGTCAATGTTTCCTATTCACCTGTTGAAATAATTGTTAAAACATTTTTTTAACAGTTATTCAAATAGGTTGCAAAGAGTGTCCAGCTGCCAGACATATGGGAATTATAAAATAGGGAAACTATTATAGTGCATCCATTGAGAAGTGAAAGAAAAATTTTACAAGGGAAGGAAAAAAATTTTTCCACATAGATCTTCAGTTACATGAGCACTACCAAGAAAAATATCAAATGAGAAGAATGGGAAAACTTCTATTTCTCCATGAAATAAAAAAAGCCAACAGCAGCACAGAGCAATCCCAAGGACAGAAGAGGCCAGCACTCTCAGATCTGGCACTATTGCTGCACTGGCCTCTGAGCACAACAAAATAACTACACACAGAAATTCAAGGATAACTGCACCAAGTTATCAGATTTGGAAAGAAATCTACTCGTGTTGATAGTAGCTGGTTGACAGTTAGGTTTAACATTCTGAAAAGCAGTACATTTTTTATTGCTGTAGCAATAAAAATGCTTGTACCTGGAGATGTTTTATATTATGGAAAGAAATAATGTTCTACTCCAATATTTGTCTAAACATACCTCTAGTGTAAGGTTTTTGGGAAATGAAGCAAAAGAAAACAAGGGAGTAGTTTTGGAAGGACTATGTATATCTAGCTGGTTATATGAAATGGATACTGATAATCTGTAGCATTCTATTTATAAATGAATCTCATTAAAACAAAACAAAAACCTCATTTTATTTAGCTGAAACAATGGGAACTTTTCTACTGTAAGTCAAAATATGCTTCTTAAATTTATCACTGCTAAAATTATATCACTTAAGCTTCTGAAATATGAGACTTTTTTTTTTTTAAAGCAGCTGGGTCAACAAGTCTTCGCAGTTTTTACTTCATTTTTAGTAGCAACTAATATACTCAATAAGTACACAATTCCTGGTTAGTTTCAAGGGTCAGACAGAGCAGTGTTTAAAAACTGTTTACTTTTAATGTACTTACAGAAAAAAAAAAAAAAAAAAAAAAAGAACAAAAAAGCAGCTATATGAACACCACATTTTCAGTACTTTCCTAATAGTGAGATTACCTTGTGGGAAGTTTGGGGACACAGTCTGGTTTGCTGCAAATGTATTGGTTGTTCTCGGAGGAGTCCGTAACTGTTGTACAGCTGGAGCTTGGGCAGCAAGTGGCATAGAATTGCCAGGCAACACAACTACATTTGAAGGTGTCACAGCTGTGCCCAAGGTAGCTGGATCAGTCACACAGGTGGCTATATAAAGGTTGTTTGAATTCCCAAAAGCTGTGCTTGTTGCTGGCATCAACTGTATAAATCCCCCTTCCTTGGAAAGATTAGTGGTACCTGCAACTGAAAAAACAGTGCAGTCTTCATTCGGAGTGCTAACTGAGGTGACCACGGGATCCTTAGGTCTAAGCACCAGAAGATTCTGCTCTGCCAAAGATGAATCTACATTTTTTTCTGCATCTTCTGAAGTGACACATTTGGACAGGCCTGCATTTTTGGTTGGGGATTTGGCTGGAGAAGACAATATTATAGTTGGCAAATTTTCTCCTGTGATACTGGAAACAGCATTATTTAACTCTGTTTCTGATGAAATAAATGGATCATCACTGATGATGATCTTGAGGGACATTATGTTAGAAGGATCAACATCCATTGGTTGACTACTAGAAGATACACCACTCAGACTTTTGGCTTCTGTACCTGACTCCTCTGTTGAGGATGCAGTTTCTGGGAGAGGAGAGTGGCTTATTTCAGATGTAGAAAGACTATTCTCAGTGGATACTACAGAAATTTCTGTACACGCATCATCACCAGAAGCAAAATGCATATTATCAGCATCTACTTTTGTAGAAGATGAAGGTTCTTGCATTTCCCGGTGTGGTCCCTCTGAATGTGACAGTCCTGAAGCAAGGTTAAAATCTTTCTTACAAGGCTTATCAAGTGTATGCTGATCATTTGTTTTGTTAGAAGTATCAACAACTTCAAGCTGCAACTTGTCAAGATCTGAAATCTTCACTGCAGATCTTTCTGCACAGTCTGGCTGCACACTCTGCTCCTGGCGGTTAGAGTGGTGGCTGGAATTCTCCTCTAAAATACCAGCTAAGGCAGCTGTATCCTTTGTTATGGCCTGTTCTTTTCCTGAAACTGCTGATGGGCTAGAAACTGATGAATTGTTTTTTCTCAGCAGTACACTTTGGCTGGAGCTCCCACCAGAAGGGCTTTCAGGAAGTGTTTTTTCAGACAGTGACGTATCTGGCGATAAGTGACATTTGCTTCCAGGATGTGTTTTGTTTTCACTAGCTGCAGTACCTTCTGCCAGTGACATCAAAGAAATCTGCAGACTACCAGAATGAACATAGTCTAAATTGGGACTACCTTGAGCACTATGACTTAGTGGGCCTTTTTCAATCTCCACTGCTCTTTCACTTTCAGATACTAACACAGAGGAATCTTGTTTGTAAGAATCTCCACGGTGTTCATGACATTCCCCATCAGAACTCTGTCTCTTGTTCACTTCAGTCAAACCAGGCACAGATTCAAAAGCGATTTCAAGCTCTCCAAGATGTTCAGAGGTAACAGTTTTAAGTACTTCAGTCTGCTTCCTTGGTCTACAATGTCCATGCAACTGTTCGTTGGTTGTATTTTTCTTAGCCATATCATCATTAATGCTAGTCTTCAAGGCACATGATGCTTCTCCTACCTGAAAACCTTTACAGGACAGTGATTCTCTGGAACTCTCACCTGTAAAACCGAGAATAAATCAGTAATTATGAGAACAAATGATCTTCTTAAAGTGTTTTAGAAGCAACTTATCAGATCAATGGAAAACTTCCATGTGAAACAAAGTAGGAATAATGCTACTCATCCTTACTGAATGATACATATATGAAACGTATGATTATACACATTAGGCAAGCTGGCAAATCAGTTTTTACATAAATAGTAAGTGCACACATAAGACGAAAACTGCTCAAGTTACTAAATCAGATTTCCAGAAGCACAAAAAGCACCTCAGAAAAAAGACCTCTTTGCTCTATTCCTCATATTCTCTATTCACTAAGTATCTGCTACTGATAGACTATAGACTATTGTTAAGAATAGGTTAGACAGACTAAACGTAACTTTTGTCCAGAGTAAGATTTTTTTTGTGGGTTAAGTAACCATTACAGAACAGAGATAAACACTAATATGGTTAGATTTAAATATTATCTGTATGCATTCCACAATGGCTATTCCAAAGCACCTATGTTTTGAATGAGAAAATAGATTTTCAGACATTCTTGTTTTATTTAGGAGCTTATCAAGCACACTGATGGACTACTGGTACACAAGGTGTATCCCTATGGTCATGTGATGTAAATGTCAGATTGGATATTACCACTGATCACACTGACTTTTGAAACGAACAAACTGTAAGTATTTTCATAATGAAAAGTGAACAATCTAGATGAGATCCTAAAGAAAAAAAAAACAACACCACAATACCTACATCTACTAGTTTCTTCTGTTCCTAAAGAACTTTCAAGTGTTTCTAGGTTATCCTCATCCACCAGGATTGCATTTTCTACTTCGCTCTGACCAGAAACATCATCAGGTAAGTTCTTGTTTACCTTGCTCTTTCCTGTTTTCAAAATAAAGCATGAAGAGTGATTAGACACACATTCTACACACAAATGAGATTAAATGAAGCATGGAGATTTCATATTGAAGAAACGCCATCCTAAATTCAAAGAAATATTTGTCTGTATTCATTACAAATCCAGAAATAGCATTAAAAAGTCCTTATATTTTATGTGAGGATAACCCTATCAGGCAAATAGAAAAATATTACAACAGCATAGCAAAAAAAAGTATGAACTATCATCCTTTAGATCAGAAGAGTCTAAATTAGCAAAAAACAATCCCTAAGCCAGCAAAAGAACAGTATTTCAGCACCAAAAAATGCTGTACTTTATAGTTATGTATAAATATGTATAAAAATCCAAGTCTGACTTGAAGGACACAGATGCCACACAACCCATTTATCTTGCAAAAGAGGCCTGGTGAGTTACTTTTGCTTTTTTTCAAGCAATACTTAGGAAAACTCATCACTCATGATGCTTTATATTAATGGTATAATTGAGTATAATACACCCTACCATAATCAAACAAGTCAAAGAGTGCCTGAAATGCTGGATCTGATTCTGTCTGCTCTAGAATGTCTTGTATAGCCTCTTCTGACATATGAATTTCACCCTGTGAAAAGACAAGACATACAGAACTGTTAGACAGTTACTTTCATAACTTAAAAACAGAGAGCTATTTTCTTTCCATATTATTTTTAGTTCTGTTACTTCTGTTCAGCACAGAAACATACAAGATTCATACTGGAAACATTTCGGCCACAAATATATTGTCTGTTAAAAAATATTAGCGACTGAAGTTTAAGAAATAAAGCCGCCCCCAAGCCAAGTAACTTTGTCAGACATTATACCCTGCACATGCATATTGGTGTATTCTCCACATAATGACCAGTATTGTTCAAGAAGGATTAAACCTCAGGCTACCCTGGAAGCTTATGCAGATGGTATGAATGCCATGAGCCTGCACTAGCCAACCACTGGTGAAGTCCCCAAATTAACCCTAATTTCTTGGTTGCATACATCTAGAAGACAATGCAAAGCAACATGAAGTTTTATTTCATTTATCCACTACAAGTTCCATAATATAGCTTCCAACCACTCCTCTGTGGAAAGCAATTGGAAGGCACAGCTACACTGGACACTGCTGTGATGTTCCTCTTTCAACCTAACATGTTTGGTAGCAGCTCAGGAAGAAAATGAGGGTGCCACTCAGTACATATTCAAGTGCTCAAATACAAAGTTTCTCCTGACTTCCTGGAGATTCTCTGAGCAGTCTGCAGCTTTTGATTCGGTGGTTTTAAGAGTGGGTATCTCAAGTGATATGCTTAATTATTTTGCCTCAGCTACTCTAATTAAACCAAGAAGCTGCTTGGATTTTCATCTGCTCAGAAGAATGGAATACAGTTTTTCAGCTCTGTAGTTTGACAAAAATTGACCCAAAAATCACTGACAGAGGAATAACTTGAAAAAAAAAGACACTTCCACTTTGTAAACAGGCAACTGCCTCTGCTCTCCTGCCATTCTCATGAGGGCCATGAAGATTTTAATTTCCTAACTAAGAGCCTTTTATAAGTTTGTGACTTCCAGCTTGAGGTTTCCAGGTTGTAGGAAAATGAAGAAAAAACACTGAAAGCTCAGTTTGTAGAAGCAGAATGTACAGTTCTTCCAAAAATATTAAATTCAAAGATAAAGCATCCTTACTTAGGCTCCAAAGACAATTTCTCTTGCTATACTACAAAATCCATGTTTATCTTACAGCAAATATAAAAATCAAATCAGACTAAACATGTCTGAAAACCACAAGATATTCTAAATTCCTTTTTCTTTTACAAGGCTATTGATCAGATCCCCAGTCAGAAGCTGGTACCCAATTACTCGCACCAAAGATCTAGTGATCTCAGCCCATGGTAAGGGTAACACCCAAGAACTGCCAGAAGTGGTCCTGCTCCCTTGGCCTTTGACCCTGTTTCAGGCTTGTACCGCCTTGCACAGGCACTGGGAATGAATTCAGAGTGCTAAACTGGCTTAAAATCAACCCCAGCAAAACATTAGTATCCTGTCAGTTCAGCTCCTCAAATCTGCCCACCACCATACAGCAAGGTAAGAGTTAATGCCTATGTAAGAGAAGTTGTGGAACTGCCCCAGGGCAGAAGCTCCTCACTGCAAACCCACTTAGGGTTTCACCCATTACTGGAAAACGAGCAAATAAGAGACAATGGAGAGCACTCTCAGTTATCAGACAGTAGACAAAGGCTCAACATACTTCCCCATAATTGATCATTCTCATGTGCTTGGTCTTAAAAAAATGTAAATAGGGCAATTCACACCTACCTGAAGTCCAAGGATTTCATCAATAGAAGTCTCTTGTTCCGTGGGACCACTGTCTGTCTGCTTAGGGCCCTGAGCAACATTGCCATCACTGGAACACATTTACTCATTAGTTCAGAACTCAAAAAGAAATCAAGTAACAATATGTATGAAATTTAGAGGTTCCTTTTGTTACCTGCCCAGAATTTTGTTAATGTTCTCAGCAAGCTTCTCCTGAAGAGATTTGTTGCTCAAGATTTTCTCTCTGGCATTTTCAATAACCAGTTGCTGGAAAACACAGTTTTAAAGTGTTTAGGTTTCTATTTTTATCATCACTAGAAAAGCAGTGTGGATTTCCAACTTACTGCTAAAAAAATAACAATCAATTCAACACAGAGCACACTCTTTATGACAGAGAGACAGCCAATCTGTGACTGAATGACATTGCTATAAAAATCATCCCAAAACATTCCTTTGCTTCTGCTCTCCTAAAGTACAGTGAGGATTATTGTGCTTTCCATTTTCCATTCTCTAAATACACTCCCGTATTTTGACAACTTAGAGGTATCTTAGCAAAGCCCTCAAGGTAAAAAACCCTTTACACAGCCATGCCATCCTCACTAGTTTACTATACAGAAGATCTAGTTCAAATACAAAACAATAAACTTATCTTCTCAAGTTAATTTCTGTAACACCCAAGACAAACAACAAACAAAAGCCTAGTTCTCTTTAGTCTACATTTGTTTCTTAAATGTAAATACCTTCCATAAATATATACTCACTGGGAAGTTACCATCTATGAACTCTTCAAGTGGCTCACTTTCTTTTTCTATTACTACTTCTTCAGGGCCTTGAGAATTTCTAGTTGCTGAAAGAGGTCCAGAGGTTGTAATGCTTTTCCTCTTCTGAGATTCACTGAAATGTTCCAGGAAATTAATGATGCATGTTGTCAGAACATAGCAAACAATAGACCTAATGGTCAGTAAATCAACCATTTCTCTTCCTTCTTAGCAAATGAAAGATTTTATTTAACAGAAAATTAACTACATACTGGAAAGACAATAAAAGCTGAAACCTGTTTCATTATTTCTATGCATGTCTCATATCTGACTTCATAGAAGTTACAAATACCCAGTCTGTGTAAACAGCACAATGACAAATCGAATTCCATGCCCACTATTCAGTATTTTTCCTCCCTCTAGTACATGTTACTTTAATTTGCGGTACAGGTTCTAATTAACTGCCACTCAAGAAAAAGATTTGGGCATCACCACTGAAAATAAGTATCTCTCAAAAAGCAGCTGCGGCCAAAGAAGCAAAAAACTGTTAGGTTGCAGAAGAATTTAGGTGAAGAACAGGGAATGCAATGATTTTATTCAAAATCCCAGTGTAGGATCTTACAAAACCATCAATCAGCAGTAGCACTAAAACCACTTACATACAAAAAAACCCTCACATAGGAATAGAGTGGATGTGGCAGAAGTATTCCTGAGTAATGGTATGAAAAAATAATAAGCAAAATCACCTATTGGAATTTAGCTAGGGATAAAGGCAACAAATGGAACACGGAGAGGCCAGTCAACTCATTAAAAACAAAACTACATTGGAACAAAAGAATAAAGAATGTAGTACTAGTGCAGAGCAGTTTTTCACACTACTTATAATGTAAATATAAACATTTTTACTGACAAAACTGACAGAAGCCAGTACGTTTTGTAAGCTAAAAACTCACAAAATGCACATTTATATCAATATTGAGAATTTTAAAAATTGGTAAGATTATTTTGGAAGGAATACCACATCTTAGGCTCCAAGATTATTTGCCTATGTCTATTCTGTGAAAAATGTAAAGATAGGCTATTTGCAATAAAGAAGCACAAGCAGCCTCCTATCGGTCTAGTGTTCTTCGACTTTCCTTTGTAAACACCACATAATGGCCACAATCAGTGGATACTAAACATGAAACACTCCATCACCTAAGAATACTTAAAATACAGGTTAGAAAACTGCTTAATATCTAAATGATCTTAAAATAACCCACCCAAATCCCATCCTACTACCCCCACCCTACGTTTACCTTTTTCGTCTTCCTGGAGAAAGCAAGTTTGAATGAAGCTTTCGTTCTTGTGATGCTGGAACTTGAATGTGTATGAAATCTCCTGCTTCATAAAGGAACCAAAAAAGATCATGATGCCAGTACTTTTTCCAGTGAGATTGTTAAAGCACTACAGAAATCTACATGTTACTTAGAATGTTTAAATCAAATCCTGGGAATTAATACAAAATTATTTGTTACTATCATGAAAATGCAAACCATTAATTTAAAAAATATCCTGAGATGTGGACCATCCTTGTCTGCTAAAACAAGTCTTTTGGGTAAGGGTGAGAACAGAAGATGGAATAAGGACAAGTAAGGCACTTCTGATCTCTGAACTCCCATTAGCAAGCAAGTATGCAAGAGAGTAATTTCTGTTACGGACACTCTTTTTATCTTAATCAACCAAACCAGTTTGCTGAGTAAGGGGAACACAGGGTAAATTTTCTGAAACTTTTTTGGTGGAAGATGATTAGCCCCAATTTTATAAGATTTCCACCTATTTCCATTGTGTTTTCACAGAAGGAAAAAAAAAAAAAAAAAGTGTGCAACTTACTGCTGATCTTGTTCTCTTGGGTTTGTGACTGGTGCACAAACAACGTATTCAGTCTTGTCTGTGATGTGCTTTGATTTATTGCTGGCCTGTGAATAACTTGAGGAGATATAACAGAAGGGGAATTCTGTGGCCCTGACTGATGGGCTACTACTGACAACAATCCTGAGTTTGCAGAAGCTGATTGCTGAAGCATCCTCTGTCTTTTCATTTCTACAATTCCAGTTCTTGTACGTGCTGGAGATAATAAAGACAAGATTAAAACAGATAAATTTAAAAATACTGATGATTTTCCAAGACCTAAATAAGGATGCTCTATTGAAACTTCTTTGTGCTTCAACAACCAGTTCACGAAACTCAAAATGTCAGCAACTCCCGTCTTTGTCTTCTGTGCTACAGGTTTGTGGCAAAATAATTCAAGAAGTACATCAAACTTACATAGACATTGTAACTGTGCTTGTTCCACTGATTAAATATTTACAGGAATAAATAACAAAATGTTATTTCATTACATACTAAACCACTCATAGAAATAGCTAAACCAGTATCAGTTTGTATTTACTTGTTAAACTAAATCTGGCAAATATAAATGACAGAACAACACCTGATCCAGTGAATCTCAGGTCCAAGAACAATCACTACCTATATCTCACATTCTCTTTTCTTACTCAGGTTAATCAGAAAAAAATATTTTTAAATAAAATAACTTTTCTCTTTGTGGAGTTCATTTGGCAGCTTTTGTAACAAAAGAAACAATTTGAGACAGAACAAGTAGATTTCATGTTTTGCTTTGATATATATTTGCATGCAGTAAAAAATTGTTTCAGGATGATAATACATTTTTATATTCCCCTTCTACAGAAATGAAACTGCATCGTAATCACACTGGTTATATTTTCAATTCCTCTGTGAACCACAAATTAAGCCAACAGCTTCAGGACTGAAGCAGCAGTTTTAAAACCTTTTAACTGTGTAAAACTCTACAAATTTTTCAGCAGAGAAGAAAATGCTATTCAGATCATTTAAGTCCTTGCAAAAATCTCTGCTTTTATTTTCCTTTCATGATCACAACAGTGATCCACAGATTTCACTGAAGACATCAGACATGCTTAGAGAAACACTGCAGAAGAGATTTGACAACACTTTAAGAGTAAGGATGCACTACCGACTGCTGCAGCATTCCCCCTTCTTTGTGCCAAAAACAGATAATTTGAACAAAATGCGTCTTGATCCCATTAAATTGGCTCAGTTACTTACTCCTTTGATTAGCAGAAAATCCTGTGGAATTCTGCATGCTCCTAAAAAATAAAGCAGGAGACATAAATAAAGGGAGCACAATGGAAACCCTCAGCTACACAGTGTGACTGTATCTTACTATATGGTTAATATCAGTCTGGTCCCAACCACACATTATTTCTGAAAGCTTCAATCTAACTGATTGTTTCAAATAATGGTCACAGATCCTTCAAATGAAGCTTACTGGTTTATTTTTTATCAAGTAACCACAATGGTATCAGATTCTAAATGAGTCATAGTATTTTGTTTTATTACAGGAAGGCCACATTCTAACACTAACACCCTCCTTATCTGCTAGTCCCGCCTTAAAATCTAGACACGCCTCCTCTCACACACCAATCTTTTTCACCATCTCCCAGAGGCAATAGACAACAAAACCATTCTCATACAATGATAAGGGGAGTTAATCATCACAGGGACCCATTATTAGAGTGAAACTTTACTTTCTTGATTTCAAAACTATACTACCTGATCTGAGAAAGTGTATAGTCTAATTTTTTCCACAGAGATGACATCATTGCTGGAACTTCATTTGTTGTTTCTAAAATAAATAATAAAAAAAGAAACAGTTTAGATGGCAAAGCCAGATAAATGTTGAGAAAAAGCAAAATAACAAAATAACTATTATAAGGCATTTCAGATGTCTTGTATCTTTTGGAGTCTAGTCACCTCCTCAATATTCAGTTCTCAGTTTTAGAAGCCTAAATGAAACTGAGGAAAGACCTTCATTATGATAATTCTCAATGCACTCTGCACATGCTGTTGATTCCTAGACAAACACATGCTAACTGTACTCACTTCTGGACATGGTATTCATATTCCCAAGTCACTTGTAACCTGGCAGATAGGCCTTTAAAAGCAATGGTTTATTTAAAGACATGACCCAAACAGACAAAAACACTTGGTGTTTTTTGAAGCACAAAACACTAAAGTATAAATGGAAATATGTAAGCAGATCCATTGATAAAGTCTTTCAAGGTGCCAAGCACAAAGCATTTTGAAGGAATCATGTTTTTGTGTTAGTTACCATTTCCACTAAAACTAGTGTGAAAAGCAAAAAAAACATTAAAAAATGTTCCAAACTTTCTATGTCTTCAATTGCAAGTCTTACAATTAAGCACCACTACAATCTGATCATACGTGTATCAAAAAGTTATAAGACGTGGCAACATTTTGAAGCTCAGTAACTGCTTTTAAAAGCAGGAAATGAAAAACATGTCAAGAAACATTTCACACTGTAGGACTCTTCCTGGTTATTTACCAGAACCATAAAATATCTCAAACTGGAAGGCATCCACAAGAGGAACGGAGTCCAACTCCCTGCACCTTGCAGGACTTCCTAAAACTGAACTACGTGACTAAGATCATCATCCAGATGCTCTGACAGGTGTGGTGCCATCTCCAGTTCCCTGGGAAGCCTGTTCCAGTGATTGACCACCCTCTCAGTGAAGATTCTAATGTCCAATTTGAACTGCTTTTGACACAATTTAATTCCATTTCTGTGTCCTATCACTGGTCACCAGAGAAAGATCAGTATCTCCCCCTGCTATTCAAAGTATTAACAATAAACACTATACTTTTACAAGCATAAACCCATACATTTTCCACACTTCATTATATATTTGTGCTCCTTTACATTAGAAGTTCTGCTGAAATTTGAAGGGAAAACCTATGCTGGTAAATCCAAACTAAGATAATCAATGTTGCTCACAAGATGCTCATCAAATTAGCCATTGTCTGCATAACATGGAAACCTTCAACTTCTAGCATAGGTGGGGTATTGCTGTAAGTCCATATATAGGTGGAGATATTACCTCTTCCTCAAGGGGTTCACAAGAGAGTTCACAACAGATAAATAATAATAAAATAAAATCTCATCTGAAGTCTTACCTTTTGTTTTCATGGCCACATATTCATTAAGAATAGTTGTCAAGTTTTTCCCACACAGAGACTGGAAAAAAAACAAACTGATCTTAGAATCTTCACCAATAATGTACACCTCATCTGCTCTATCACATTATATTTATTGGACTCAGTGATCTTAGAAGTCCTTTCCAATTATGACAATTCTGTGTGATTTAAGCAGCTCTTTAGAAGGTGATACCATGCTGACCCTTAACACAAGGAACTGCATTTTATGCTGCTGGGGCTAACTCATCTCAAAGTAGGTAGAGAGCAATCTGTGGAACAAAATGCCATTATGAAGACAAAGTCTGAAGTGCTTTAACTTGCTACACAACACTGGTACAGAAGTTAGGGCTGCAGGACCTGCACTCAGCTTTGTTATTAAAGAATAAAAACACAAAAATGAGATGATGAATAGCTGTTGAACAGCTGTAACAGAGTAACAAGTCTGTATCATCCTCGAACAGAACCTGCCAAAGTGAAGAGAACTTGTGTCTGAGATAAAGTTCTTAACAGTCACAGAGAATTAACCTGCATATCATATTTACTTGTTCAGTTATTTTAGGTGAAACGAAGAGAATTAAGATTTTAAGGTTACCACTATAATTTAATTTACCTTCTTGTCTTGTTTGGTAGTGAAGACTCTACAGGGTATGACAAATACAGCCCTATATTGCAAGTTTTTTGAGCTACAGTGAGATTTTTTTCAAAGACACTAAGATATAACCACTTTTCTATGAAAAACAGAGAACATGTTTTTACTGAGAAAAGAGAATTAGGAGATTTAAGAATCTGGATAATCTATTTACATTTGTTTTTTCTAATTTTTTGCTGACCGTAGCTTGGTTATCAGTGTTCTCTCAAAGTTCAATGGTTTGTTTTGAACAGGTGCATCAAGTCCCCACATCTCAGAAGGTATTTTGCATACTGAGAAGAAAATACCAGATCACGTAATTAACTGGTATATTAGAAGAATGAGACGCAAAACAGGAAGAAGATGTGCATATAAGCAATAAAAGGCCGATTCACAGCAATACAAAACACTTGTCATTTGCATAGTGTATTAAAAAACCCATTTTATATAAGTTAAAAATTCAAAGTCTTTAATTACCCTGTAGTTACATGCACATATCTACACATGTAGCTACACACTGTGTTTATGCGAGTTCCACATTTCACCTGGGACAAAGCGAACTGTACTGGTCAAAAAGAAAGCTGATCTGAAACACATTTTTTGTCAACAAAATTTAGAAGTCTTGAATAAAGCTAAGGTTACCTCACTTACAAGTTTTAATGTGTACTTGAAACTGAACATTACCAGCTGCCATGTCTAGGATAGGAAAGCAATCTCCTATGAATTACAAAAGCCACACAGAAATCAATAAAACCCTTGGACAACCTTCCATAAATCAACTTCAAAGCTATAAAGCAGACTAAATGTAACATAATGAACCCAATTTGCATATTTGATACTTAAATATTTCTTAGTAAGATTAAATACTAGAAATCAAGTAACTGCTAATATCACTGGATGGAAAACAAAAAACAAAACAAACCATAAAAAAAAAAAAAAACACAAAAAAACCTCCCAAAAACCAGAGAGGACAAACTAACTAAACAATTTAAGCAGCATTTGAAGTAACTGTAACACTGACAAGTCTCAATGTTCTTTTCCACGGATGCAAGACAATTTAACTCTCAGCTTTGCAAATACAAACTCACCAGCAAGCAGGCTGGAATAAACCCATCCTCTGTACAGTGCTCTGCATATTCTTTCAAATCTGAGCTTTCCAAAATAAATTCACGGCAGGTAGCTAGAAGTTTCTCCTGTTGCAAATACCCTGCAACAAATCAGATGAAAAATTTTGCTACTTCTTTCTTTACTTCTGTTCATTACATATCAAAGCATTAACGTAACCAGCTGCACACACTGTTGAAATAATCAGGTAAAGACTTCTATATTAGCCAAGAAAAACAAAGTTATGTTGAAATAATATATATCTTGTAAAATATTTTTAATAGTTAAAACCACAAAGAGCACAAAATATTATTGATATCACGCTGTCCTATTCAATATTGGAAGTGAGGTGACATGCATAATTTCTGATTGATCTTTAGTACAGAGAGTACTGTGCAGACAAGAAAATAAAAGTTCATGGCTAAGGAGGCTGACAAACTAAGTCTCACATGGGCTGAACAAGACAGTTTAATAGTTAAACGGAATTCTACAATATTTTGTTAATAACATGCATTGCTATGCAACAAGAACTCTCCACACAAAACCTCCTGTTTCAAAACAGGTAAAACCTAGGCAGCTATTACAACAGTGTATAAGATTTATTTCAAAAATTGGTATTGTACAAAACATTCATAACAGAAAAAGGTTTCTTCTGCTCACTTACTGTAATTTTAATTTCAAATAGATGTACTAGCGGCAGCTTGTGCTCTGTACACACCCCAAGACTCAGTAGTTACTTTAACAGGAAATATACTGAAAAAGTTTACTCTTCCAAAATTTCATTCCTTAGCAAACAATGTTCTGCTTTAATCACTTTTAAATCCTGCTTTAATCTTCAAGTACTCCAGACATTAAAAGAGAGAAATAGACCAATGTGAATGAAGGATTCTAGAACAAAGAACCACAAAAGAAACATCTCTTCCTTCTTGCTTGTGGCAGAACTGAACATGCAATATTTTAAAGAAAGGATAAACCTCCTGGAAACTGAAAGTGTCTTTTGGGGAAACACAATTATATGCCGGTCTTACTCCTACCCAATACATACCATCTCCTGTTGGCCATGATAGAACATGGGGTTTGAGGCTAGGCACAGCTTTGGTCTGTGCTGGGATGGCTGTTCTTACAATCACACTGATTTGGATATTTATATACAAAGTTACAATTTTTCTTTCCTGAACCTACTACTACAGTATTGCAAGGGATGACCAAACTTGCATACAGGCACATTTGGCACATACACCAAATTCCTGCAAAATAAGGCATTCCAAAGCTTTAAAACGCTTGAATGAAGATTTTCTGTGTAACTAAACAGAAATGCTTGTGCACACACTGTATAATGACATGGTGTGTGGCCAGCAGGTCAAGGGAGGTGATTCTGCCCCTCCACTCTGCTCTGGTGAGGCCCCACCTTGAGCACTGTGTCCAGTCCTGGAGCCCCCAACACAGGAAGTCCAGAGGAGGGCCACAAAGATGATCCAAGGGCTGGAGCACCTTTCCTATGATGACAGGTTGAGGGAGTTGGGGCTGTTCAGCCTGGAGCAGAGAAGGCTCTGGGGAGACCTCATAGTGGCCTTCCACTACCTGAAGGGGCTCCAGGAAAGCTGGGGAGTGGCTTTTTACAAGGGTGCATGGTGATAGGATGAGAGATAATAATTTTAAACTGGAAGCGGATAGATTTAGGTTAGACATTAGGAAGAAATTCTTCAGTGTGAGGGTGGTGAGGCACTGGCACAAGTTGCCCAGGGAGGCTGTGGAAGCTCCATCCCTGGAGGTATTCAATGCCAGGTTGGACAGGGCTTTGTACAACCTGATCTAGTGGTCGAGGTTCCCTGCTCAAAGCAGGGGGGTTGGAATTAGATGATCTTCAAGGTCCCTTCCAACCCAAACCATTCTATGATTCTATGACATAACAGTACACAATTTTTAACATTGCCATAACCAAATTAAAGGCACAAAAGGTACAGAACCTTCTGAACTAGGAATTATTCCATCTTTTCTTCTGTCTTAAGAAATGTAAAGACAAATCTCTAGCTCACAGTACTCATTCACTCTAACATTTTAAAAAAAAAAGATAAATTTGATTCTGTCTTTTTCTATGGGTGAGCTCATCTTACCATTTTAGTTTTGTTTCATCAACCTTTACTGCACCAGAAGGACTTATGTATGGTAAGATGTAGGAGGGGGAAGATTTTTTTTTAAATCAGATATGGAAAAAGACCTGCACTGGGAAGCCTGTGTATCCACCCTAATTCAGAGACACCTCATGGAAGGGGAATTCCTATTAGAGGACAGAAATAGCTACAAGGAATATCCTGTTCTACAACCTTAAGTTGCTCAGAAGTTTTCTAGACATGATGCATGCACTGTGCCACAACAGACACAAGATGGGTCATCCTCCTTCATACATGACGCTGCCAAGATTGTATACTAGGTCACCAAGTCTCTGATAAGACCACAAGATAAGCTTTCTACCCAGAAACTTGTAGCTTAACCAGGTTTTCCTAACAAAGCACAGTGACACATCTCCCATGCATGACTTTAAATCTTTTAAAATGCATGGAGCTTCAAAAAACCTTTATTGGTTCATAATAATAAAAGCATTGCACCTCTTACCAGGCCTGTCTCTCAAGACAGTGACAAGAAAACATTTAAAGTAATATTTAAAAATAAGTTGTGCTGGAGAAAGAGCAAGTAAAAGATTCAGTCTTAATGGCTTTGGATTCAAAAAGCTGTTGACAACTGAATCTCACTCTGCAAGCTCCCAGGGAACACTGGCATCTATGCCAAAACGTGCTGACCTGTGCCACGTTTTTATTACCATGCTTTTGTCCTTGTATTTGGCTGTATACAAATAATCCAAAGCACAAAGTAATTTCAAAAATTCCCTGTCTGCACCCTGCACCCCCTCGCAGTTCCACAGGCACTGAGCACATCAAACCCCGACTCCTGACGCAGCCTCACAGAGACGGAAACAAGGAGGAAAGAAAACCCAACTGAACCTTCACCGAGCCTCCCCCGGCATTCTGGATCACCCCTGTATTCCTCCTGGCATCAGCGACTTTGTGAAGCCCATTCCCCCGGCATCTGTCCGTAGCTGGACACCACAGGCCACGGCTCACAGACCCGCGGAGAGCCCGAGGAGCAGGCAGGGCCGGGGAGCAGCACGGGCCGGGCCGCAGGGCCCCGGG